GTTGCACACTGCGTCTGGGTTATTTTGAATATTCAGAGGTTGCTTAAATGCTGAATGAGCTGTCCTGCCTCCATCCAATAAAGTTGCTGCAATGCCAGATGATGCAACGGCCAATGCGATGCCATTATTTGATCGGTTTGTATGGAAGGTGCCACGCCCCCTATTCCCATAACTACAATTTTTCTCCATGAGTATGCAATTCAAAGAATCTGGAGGACCGAAAATACCCACTTACCAGTTAAACCGTGAAGGCTAGCTGCTTACAGTTCAACGACTATTTGCAAGAAAAAGCAGACTTGTTAGAGAAAATTGCATCGCAACAGATCTGTCACGAACGAAGAATACTTTTAACGAAGAAAACTTAAATCAGTTTTCATAAAATATTTTAATAAGAATTAGTTTGAAGTGAAATAATTCTGTTCTTGTTTTAAAAGATTGGTTATGAAATTAAATTTTTTTCATTAATTAGTTTTGTGCGGAATCAAAAAAGTCTCCCTCTCCATCCAATAAAGTTGCTGCAATGCCAGATGATGCAACGGCCAATGCGATGCCATTATTTGATCGGTTTGTATGGAAGGTGCCACGCCCCCTATTCCCATAACTACAATTTTTCTCCATGAGTATGCGATTGGTTTGATATATCTCCATGCCAAGTTAGAGTACTCTACCATGAACACTTCCAGAGATATGCAGTATGAAAAATTCGGTGTCTATGGGAGGTGCCACGCCCCCGTTTCCAATAACCACAACTGTTCTCCATGAGTATGCGATTGGTTTGATATATCTCCATACCAAGTTAGATTACTCTACCATGAACACTTCCAGAGATATGCAGTATGAAATATTCGGTTTGTATGGGAGGTGCCACTCCCCATGCACCTAGCGGTATGAAATATACTTTACATCCGATTCTCATACCTACCAAATATACACAAAAAATTTCATAAAGATCGGTCCAGCCGTCTGGGAGGAGTTCGACCACTAACACCGTGACGCGAGATTTTTATATATTAGATGCACATATATATATTCAGCCATAAATATGGCGCAAGAATATTTTCAAATGGAAATTGTAATTTTCGTTTAACTACTCACCTGTGAAAGTTAAACAATGCAAACACGAGTGAAAAGTGAACAATTTCGAGCGAAAATCGGGAACCTACGCAACCTTCCGTGGCAAGGGGAAAGTCAAAATGGGGTATGTCCCCCCCAATGGGGTACGTCTGGCAACCCTAGATGGAACTCATAACAGAAGAAAGAATTTTGGAATGGAGCCGAGAGAGCAAGAGGGCAACGGTGGGTTCTGTGCATCAAATATCTTTTGAAAAATTGCCTACTCTTCACCGAATTCGGGACCCTCATTGAATATGCTTTCGCTCTACTATGGGAATTTTCACGAGTCTTTTCGGCAATTCAAAGAATCTGGAGGACCGAAAATACCCACTTACCAGTTAAACCGTGAAGGCTAGCTGCTTACTGTTCAACGACTATTTGCAAGAAAAAGCAGACTTGTTAGAGAAAATTGCATCGCAACAGATCTGTCACGAACGAAGAATACTTTTAACGAAGAAAACTTAAATCAGTTTTCATAAAATATTTTAATAAGAATTTGTTTGAAGCGAAATAATTCTGTTCTTGTTTTAAAAGATTGGTTATGAAATTAAATTTTTTTCATTAATTAGTTTTGTGCGGAATCAAAAAAGTCTCCCCTTTTGCCCAAAAATAAATGGTCACGCAAATCTATGATCTGTTTCTTTTATGTCATATATGTTTATGGATATGTACACTGAATATCTATAGTTATGTATGTATGTATATTCGACTGCATCACTCCCCATAAAAGAAATCGGTATTGTTTTTCCACCGGAATTATAAATTCTATTATATTTTAAGACTTCCACCGAAATATTTCGGAAAAATATTAAGATTTACGTGAGCTGGACCGAATGAAAATACCTTCAAAAATTGAGTTTTTTGTGAATAAAAACAGTTTTTTAATAATTTTTTTCAAAAAATCACCTTAGATAACAAAACAGTTTAAGCTTAAAAAATTTTCATACAAATATTTAAAAAAAAAATTCAACGGAATCGCTATAATGAGATTTTTGATGCTGTTTTGAACTTTTTTCAAAGGCTGGTTTAGATAAGCTTGAATAACTCAGCCTAAACTTTACCGATTCAGACTTATGAGGTATCATTGGAAATTAATTTTCTCATCCTCTTTACTTCTTTGCAAATAAGCTCAATCAAAGCATGATAGAAAAAGGTAAGATAAACGAGCCTCATTCCATGTTGAATTAAGATGTGTTGGTATTTGATAAAGAAAAAATTATGACGTGAATGAGGGTTTTTGAAAAGAAGTGAAAAAGGTGAGAAAATACCTTTCCACTGATACCTCACAAGTCTATATCGGAATTGTTTTGGCCCAGTTATTCAAGTTTTTCTTCTAAAATTTCATTACTATGATTCCGTTGAAAAATTTTTATAATATTTGTATTTTGAAGCTTAAAATGTTTTGTCATCTGAGGGCATTTTTTTTTCAAAAAGTTCTTTAAGAAACTATTTTTATTCATAAAACCCTCCATTTCTGGAAGTATTTTCCAATTGGTCCAGCTCACGTAAATCTTAATATTTTCTCGAAATATTTTGGTGAAAGTCTTATGGCCTTATTTATAAAAAGTAAAGTAACTTTATGCTTGAAATACAATACCGGAGAACGGCAAACTTCGCCGAATTGGGCGATGCTGTCGTTCACCGTTCGCCCAGCTATTTCGCCTACTTAAACAGAATTAGAGCGGTAGCGAAAACAGCTGATCCCATTTGGTCGCCTTTATAATTTGGGTGACCATATTTAGAAAAAACTAAACCATATTTAGAAATGAGGAAATGATAACAAATATAAATGTAAAACAAAGAAAGATTATTATAAATAATTTGTTTCAAGCCAGATTTAACGAATCCACAACTATATTTTTCAAACAACAAAAAAAAA